CCAGTGTCTACTTGGGTTTGGTGGAAAAATTCAGTGCAAAAGAGAAACCCCGATAAAAAAGCCTAAAAACACGCTAAAAATACCCCCAAAACCCATACCTCTGCTTGGAGAGTACATCATTGCTCCAATAAAGGTGACAGATGGTCATCGAAACGTCAGCTCTTGTTAAAACCAACCTGATGAAATTATTTACATTTGATGAATAGAATTTGATGAATGAATATAAATTGCTATGCGCAAATTTGAACTGCTTTTTTTGCTGGCATGTAATACAGGACCAGGTGTATTATTAGTCACTCACTCACTCACTCACTGTCCGGTTTATCGTCTGTTGTTCCCCGTCTTCCGAGGGTTAGACGTGCTTGCACAATACATCTGGGGCTTGAAGCAAAGAATAATTGGTTTATGGATATATCAACATAGATACTAAATGTGAAGGTGGCTTAAGCTTGGATAAGCCTATATGCAGATTTGAATGTGCAACAATCACAGCAGACATTCTATGTAGGGTTGTGGGCTAAATGCCAGTTGCAAATTTAAAAGTACTCCTGTCTAGAATGGAAAGGATGGAAGGGCTCGAAATCCTTTTTTCTACCAGCACTGCTCTGTACTAAAAGCAGATGTTTGGGACATGCATGAAGTAAAAACTGTTAAAAGAAACAATTTGAATTATTTATTTTGCAGCTGGTAACAAACAGTACAGAACACAACAATCCATAGATTGTACCCAATACAGGGATGGTGCAGGTTAGGTAGACATCAGAAATTCCTGCACAGCTCCAATTTTACCTGCACTATTAAACCTGCATATACCCAGTACACGGAACAGTGCAGGTTAGGTGCAGGTAGACATCAGAAATACCTGCACAGCCCCAATTTTACCTGCACTAACCAGTGCATATGCAGGTGGTATTTCCAGCCCTGGATGGCTGTAAGGGATGAGGCTACCGGTCGGTCTCCATTGACAGATGTCTGGGCCACTGGGCCACAGCTTACCATACTGTAAACATGAGTCGGAATCAATACCTGTCCTTCAGGGCAGGAACAACATCCATCCTTAGATGTAAAATGACTCCTAATGTCCTAAGGCCACTCCAATTAAATTTCTTGGTTAATGGATTCGCACGCTTCATTTTTTTCTGATTTGCAAGAAAAAAAAACAACTTCAGAATCAACTGCAAAATGCTCATATTTTGCCCTGAACAGTTGAAAGCAGTCCTTTTCTTCCTAGTTGTTACAGTTATTCCATCTTTCAATGCAGTGGTATCATTAAAAGTTCAAGCCTGGTGTGTTGACTTCATGGCTCCTATCGTACCAGTTTGGGCCATAATAGGATGCCTAGGCCTGTTTTTATTTTTACAATTTTTTTCGTGCGCCCGCTCCATTATTTTTCTAGAAAAATATGTTAACCAAGAAATTAAATTGGTGTGGCCTAATGTTCATACGTTTTTCTGCATACCTGCGCTAATGTAGGTAACATGGAAAATTACCTGCATCAGACAAATTTTACCTGCACCACTCAGAATTTAGGAAGTATGGATCACACTAGTAGTAGAAACCATTGCTGTTATTTTGTTAACACTTCATTTGAAATATAGGTGGTGCCAGTCAATATTCTAATTAACCCAGTACATGGACTGGTACATGCTAGGGGCAGGTAGACAACAGAAATACCTGCAGAGCTCCAATTTCATCTGCAGTAACGTTAACCTGCATATGCACACTGCAGGTGGTATTTTGACCTCTGATTGGGCTATCTTAAGTTATCTTGTTATTGTAGTTCACCTTCAAATCTAGATAGGTCAGTAGTATGATTTATGTTTTCATACCATAGTTTATTTAATGTCTTTACCTTTTAATTGCTTGTTTTGTGCTCTTGGACAGGAAAAAAATCTCCCCTTTAATTGCAACATTGGTCAGAGTGCCAGCAATGTTGAAGTGACAAGTGTTTGGATCAGTTTAATTGGTTCATGTGGAGAGACAGATGCAGCAGTTAGGAATCACAGCACGCTCATGGGACAGTGTGATTCATGCATGTCAGGTAGTTTTAATGGTTTGACAGTAAATTGACACTCCACTGTGGAAAGATGACAAAGCTTATTTCATTTTCTTCAACAACAAGAATCAGTGTTTTTTTTAAATTTTGTTCTTTTGGATTTTTATTCCTCATGTAATTTTGTCTTTACAGTTGAGGATGTTAAGAATGATTCATAAGATAATCTTGGGATGAATGTTCAACATCCTGGCTTTTCAGGAAAAGACTTGTCCACAGAAGGTTGTCCATGATGGCTGTCCATATTGAATGCATACCCATATTGATATGATACAATGCAATATCATACCATAATCATATTTAATTTAACTATACTTATTATCACCTCTACCCAGAAGGTCACGTTTTTGTTAATGTTAGATGGTAGATGCCGTCCAAAAGCTTCTCTAGCTGAACTTTGTTGTTGTGTATTGATTGATTGATTGATTGATTGGTTGGTTGGTTGGTTGACTGATTGATTGATTGATTGATTGATTGATTGATTGATTGATAGATATTGTCCTTCCTCCATAGCTTGCCCTGGATCCAGACTCCAACTGTACTTTCCTGACCTGTGGAGAGGATGCTGTTGTGTTCCAGATAGACCTGCGGGATGACAAGCCTGCAACGTGAGAACACTTTCCCCCATTCTTAGCTTGTCATTGAATGTGTAATATCTTCCCAAATTCAGTCTGATTACTGTGTGTTGGTCATATCAATAGATAGGCCGTGTTTTTACTTCCCACAACTTGTTATATTGGGATGTTATATTGACCATCTGTTCACATACTGGGTAGCCCAGATTTTTTGTTCCCTGGGTGGTGGTCTTGGACAAATTTGACTGTATTTTGTAACTTTCAAGATGTTATTTCTTTATTATGAGAACTAAAGACAAGGTATATGTGTAACATAGCTGGTGAATCTAGTTCTGAACTGTACTAGCCACTGACTTACATGCCTATACTTAAACCTGTTCATATATATCATTCATTTACACCGCACAGAAAACTGCTGACAACCAAGGAGAATGACCGGAAGCTTGCCCTGTACACCATCTTCACCAACCCTGTCAACAGCCATGAGTTCTCTGTGGGAGGCCGGGACCACTGGGTCAGGTACGAACTAGCTGTAGTGTATACAGCACATCAATGATCCTAACAACACAAGGTCTGGGCAAGGGAATTTTGCTGCAAATGACAGACAGAAATTTTGCCCAATACGTCATCTTTGACAGACAAAAGATAAGGAAACATATGTCATTGAACTAGGCTTACTCTATCAAGAAAATGTGCCCCTCAAAATGCAGGAAATAACATTGATAAGGGTCAAGATTTCAAATATCCCTAGAGCCCCTTAGGATTGTTGTGCCTTTGGCACTGGACATGACGTTTCTCAAACAAAATTGATGATAAAAAAAATTTAGGCTGGCTAGAAAACTGGAGCTTGATAGTGATTTGAAAGTGATGCATTGCCCTCTATGAAGTCTTTTGTGAACTGCAATTCATGCCTAGTAGAAGTATAGCATTGCCTGGAATCTAAAGTTATTGCATTATCTCCTTTTATTTATTCAAGGGTGTTTGACAAGAGGAAAATAAATCCGGTAAGCATTAAGTTCAGAATGCTCTATTTTCATTCATAGCTCAAAAGTAGATAATTATAATCTCTATATTATTCTTTCCTGCTGTTAGTTTTTCAACACAAAACTCTTGAAACTTCATTTAGATTTACTATCATCATTCTAAATCAGGATTGGTTTCATTTCATTACATTTATAGATGTCACTATAATAGACATGTACTTTTCTTTTTGACTCCTAGGAAACAAATGAGGGGGTGCTGAAAAAGTTCTGTCCACACCACTTGGTAAGTATAGCACATATATGGGAATTTTGTTTTTCCTAGTTTCCAATCAAATATATAAAATTTCACTTTGCAGTCATTTCAGCATGCTTTAATTGTATACAAAGTTTGGTATATTCTTAAATATATATACATAAAATTAGATGTATACATAAAATTATATATGTTTGTTTAGGTTGATAGTGACATCAAGGCTAACATCACCTGCCTTGTGTACAACCATGATGGTTCAGGTAAGATGCATATATCGTGTATGCTAGATGTTCATTTTTGGATTGCAATATACCCATTATACATTAGTACATGTAATGTTATATAGGTACTTTTTGCTTCTGTATCATTTATTTCTTACCATCTGTACTCCATTGCTAAACATAACTTTGTTGAATGCAGGGGCATGCATTTTTGAGTGCTCTGTAAAGGTGGGGTCAATAGAACAGTGCACCTAGCTCTCAAACATTTTGTAAAGAAGCTTTTTTCATCCTTTCAGAGCTGCTGGCAAGCTATAATGATGAGGACATCTACCTGTTTGACCCAACTCACAGTGATGGTGCAGATTTTATTAAGAGATTCAGGGGCCACAGGAACAATGCCACAGGTAATATCTGGGTAGTGCCAAATCAAATGGCCTGATGGCAAGGCTAGTGGACACTACTTCAAGTGGTCATGGGTTCTATCCCTGGCATTCCTTGCCAGACGTTGTGTCCTTAGGAAAGGCCTATGTAATTTAAATGTTAAGTAAAATGTTTTGCAACATTATGTGAAACACCATTGTTGTAACAAACTTTGCGTAATTCACGGAAGGCACACTGTGTCCTTTTCTGCCAATGTTTGTTTTTATTTATTTATTACTTTGGCTTACAACAGCAAGGGTTACCCAACTAGTCGTAGACCATTATTAAGGACTACAATGTTTGCTTGAAGTTGTAAGAAACAATAAAACTCATAAGCCATGTTCTGTGTGTGCAGTGAAGGGAGTGAACTTCTACGGCCCGCAGAGTGAGATGGTTGTGAGCGGGAGTGACTGTGGACACATCTTCCTGTGGGAGAAGGAGACGGCCAACATCGTGCAGTTCCTGGAGGGGGACGACGGTGGAGTGGTAAGGCCTAGGAAAAAATGTTGTAGTTTCTGTGTCAGTCCTGAAAAAATTGTCAAGAATATGTCTTAATGAGAATTGTTTTCCAACTCAAGAACATTGACTCTCCAGAATCTTTGACTGAATCACTCAGTCTTCATCAACCGAGTGCTGTAGACATGTGACCTGTACCCACGTGTGACTTCAGCACTGGTCGAAAATTCCGGTGAGTCAATTTTCTTGAGTAATGGAGAACAGTTTAATTCTCATCATGTATCTTACTAATTCAGATAAATTTTCATTGCTAAATAAAATAAGAATATGTCATGTACGTGTAGGTGAACTGCCTGGAGCCCCACCCTTGCAGCGCAGTCCTGGCCACCAGTGGACTGGACCACGATGTCAAGGTCTGGGCACCGACCGCCAAGGAACCCACCAACCTGGAGGGGCTCAAGACGGTACGTGGAATCTGTCACTTTGGATCTGTATGTATCTCTATTGCAAACATAACCGCCCTTCAGCATAACACACCAGCTTCTTTATCTGCATCTGTATAGCCAGTATAATCGCCCTTTGGCGCAACACACCAGCTTCTGCATCTGTATAGCCGGTATAACCAACCTTCAGCATAACACACCAGCTTCTGTATCTGTATAGCCGGTATAACGTTGTACCCTTGGGAAAGGTACTTTACACGACTTTCCTCACTTCACTCAGGTGAAAATGAGTACCTAGCTTTGGCTAGGGACGTCCCTCGGATAGGACGTAAAATGGAGGTCCCGTGTTTGGGAGAGTCACACCCCACGCACATTAAAGAACCCACCGCACTTATCGAAAAGAGTAGGGGACCTTCCCGGTGTGAGTGGTTCAAACCTTACAGCCTGGTCTCGGGGTTGACATCTTTGAAAAGGTGGTAGTCACCTGTTATGTCAATCCTTCCACAAATGTGGTAAATCTTCATAAATAAATAAATAAATAAATAACCAACCTTCAGCATAACACACCAGCTTCTGTATCTGTATCGCTATTACTGGTATAACCACCATTCAGTATAACAATCCAGCTTCTGTATCTGTCCTTTGGCATTACACACCATTTTTATGGGTTCACCACACCACGAAGTGGTGTGGTGAAACCATATTGCTTTTTCTGGTGTTTCTTCTTCTTCTCCTCCTCCTTCTCCTCCTGCCATTTTTTAAATGGATTCAGCTTCTTCATTTTAGGGCCCAAGGTCCTGAAATTTGGTATGGAGGTACAGTGGGCAAATACCCCTAGGCGTTTTTTAAATTATTGTGATACAGGCTTTTAGAATGGTTTTATTTGAGTTTTTTGGCTGTGTTATAGCAAATGTATTACTGTGTTAGTATGCCGTGTTTACATGTCTGGGCATGAGTCATCACAATGGAATGCAGGGCATCAACCAATAGGCATGCAGCTTTCCTCTATACTTCTTGCTGATTGGCTGTTGGGATTTAACTTGATTAACACAAGCACAGAGCATTTCCACCTGCACAGAGCATTTCTTGCTGATTGGCTGTTGGGATTTAACTTGATTAACACCTGCACAGAGATTTCCATACTGACAGTATGTCTTTATTCAAGTGTTTTGGTAGGTATTTCAAGCTTTTCTGCTCCAGCATTGGAATGCGGGGCATGAACGTTTTTTTATTTATTTTGAAAATCAACAGTTTGCATTATGCAATTAAAAATCCTAACCAATAAAGTAGGGAATAGCTATCCAACTGTTGTTTTAGTTGTATGTTACTTCATATTATAGTTATATCAATGTAAATCATTGTTTTCCCTTGTGTTTCTCATTCTTTCCCTGCCATGTCGTAAAATGTGGTGAACCCATCGCTGTATTTGCTCCAAAGCAAATATTGGCCTTTCTAGTTATTAGATAGCTTTAAACAGTATTTAGAGTTAGATGTTCAATGGTTAGGTGTAACCCGTCGTTCGGTGTGATGTA